ATTCTCCATCACACTGCAGCTGTTCAAAACCTGGTGTGGCTGTGCAAGGGGGAGGTCATTTAAAAGCAATAGTTAGTAAACACATCTCGAGAGACTTTGGCATAGCCCTTCCAGCTCTGTTCAGATAGATTTCTCTCACAAACACTAACAACCAAATTCTGCAATCACAGAGCCCTCCAAGTGAATATAGTGTCGCCCACATTGTAGGTCACAATACACACTGTTGAAGGAATGAATAAAGGAGTGAGCTGTTATGTTCCTTTTAAGCAAACAATGAAGCTTGTAAGGAACATAGTATGTTACCAGAATTATATCTAGTCCCCTAAAAAAACAGTACTTTTTTTTTTGACTAAAAAAAAAAAGTTGAATAAAAAAGAATGTCTAAATATCTCTGCTAGGGAAAAGGAAATTGAGAAACACTTGAGAAAGAAATTTTTCTGAGCACCTGACTGTCAGTTAAAGATATAAAATCAAGATTGTCCAATAACCAGCTCTGTTTGTTGTATTTCTATTAGTTGAGATCTGTTTGGATCTAAACTGTTAGTAAAGCTTGCCACACATCCATGCTTTGGGTGAGTGATGCATGACTCCAGAAATGTTTGGCTGGGGTTTTTACATTCTCTTTGAAGATTGTTGTGGGCTTATGCAAATTTCAGTGAAATATCCAATGTTTAGATAGTGTCAGCTGACTCCTGAATGACACATGTACAAAACAAACTAAATTAATCATTTAACAGAGGGGTCGCTGGGTGGCTCAGTGGGTTAAACATTTGCCTTTGGCTCAGGTCATCATCCCAGGGTCCTGGGATCAAGCCAGGGATCAAGCCCTGCTTCCAGCCCTCTGCTCAGCAAGGACCCTACTTCTCCTTCTCCCTCTGCCTGATGCTCTGCCTGCTTGTGCTCTCTCTCTCTGTGAAATAAATAAATAACGACTTTAAAAAAATAATAATTATCTAACAGGTAACATACCTCTTTCTGTTTATTTTCTTACATATATTTGATAAATAAGTTTTCCATGTGGAATAGAAGAAAAGAAAAAGAAATAAAAACACTTCATATTACAAATATGACTGCAAGCCACATACAGCTACACCTAGTGTGAAAAATCCATTAAATAAAATGTTGGCTACTGGCATTGGTTTGAAAGATCTTCCGGGGCTTCCCAGGTGTCATTTGAAACTGGCCACCATATTCCAAAGACAAGAAGAGCCTGAAAGAAGAGGCAGGACACTCCCAATCAGTAGGTGGCTGATTTAACAAGCAAGGCAACTTACGTGCGAGGTTTGTCTTGGGTGGCCTAAGGCCAGTACATCTTTAACCTGATACCAGAATTTTAAAAGTTTAGAGGTCTTTTTTTTTATTATTATAAATTAATTTTTATTGGTGTTCAATTTACCAACATACAGAATAACACCCAGTGCTCATCCTGTCAAGTGTCTTGTATAGACAGAAGATCTCAGCAAGACATGAGTATCTCAGGGTCATGACCTCGGGGCCATTTCAAGAAAGGGCAAGACAAACTATGCACATTCCAAGGACAGGGTCAGAAATGAGGAGCCTCGATTTCTGGGCTCCAGTGCGTAGGTCGACTGGTGGTCACGTGCTCTCCATGATCCTCCCAACAGACATTCATGTGGAGGCACTGCTTGATTAGCTGTCCTCCTCTTCCCTGCATAGGGTAATGCCTCAGCAGGGACTCAATTACTTGTCTGAGGCCAGGAAGATGGTAATTCACAGAGTGATGGCTGACTTCATAAATCTGTGTTTTGGCCCTCTTGAAACCTGAGCCCTCTTCAGGGCACACACCCCACTCAACTGTCCAGAGGGCATCTGGTTGTCGTTGCTCAATGCACAGGCCCCAGCACATGAATCCTCTCTTCTCTGAAAATGAAATAGAACAGCTCAGGGTCCTGAGTCCACCCCTGTGTCAGCACAGTGAGACAGTGTGGCAGCTGATGAGGGAGTGATGGGTATCTTCCTGATGACGGAATGCCCTTGCTGTGGAGAACTGTAACTCAGAAGAAAGGCAGTGTGTGCCCCTGCTCCTATTTATTCATTCATAGAACAGTATCCGGGGAGGAGAACTTCTCATCCCACTGAGTGGCACCTGCAGTGGCAAAGCTGTCTCGTCCTAGCAGAGCTGAGCAGGTCCAGGTTGTCTTCCCTGAGGTGGGGCTGTACCTCCCTGATACTGGTGTCAGCCATACCCAGGCACCGGTTAATAAACCTCTACTACCTCATTCTTGTTTCTAAAGGTTCTCCCACTTCCCAGCCTCATATAGAAATTAATTCCATAGAAGGCCCCGCCCCCCTGCAAATGGATGTATGTTTTTTCAATTCTTATACTCTCACTGTATTGATTTTATTATGAGTCTTATGATGAGGGAAAGGAAACAGGAATCCCACCCTATCCTTAGTCTTGTTCTAGTTTCTTCTCTCTGTTACTTGTGTTGACCTACCTGACACAGGCCCTGGAGGATGAGACTGGCACCCCTGACAAGACAATGCAAAAGCATGACCTCTATTACTTAGAGATTTTTTTCCCCCAGAAACCTCATTATAACCCCCATCCAAGATTAGCTGATCCAAGTTCAATATATAGTCTTCTTAGGTGACCTAACTTTCTGAGGCAGAAGTAAGGGGCCTAAAACAAAAGAAGTATAAAGTCTTCTTTGCTCCTTTTTAGTTGGCCAAAATCCAGATATTTTTCTATTTCAATAAGGAAAAATATTGACTTCAAAGGAAAGCTTGTTTAAAGAGAGAGAGAGAGGAAATAAGGTGGAGAAGACCCAGAGGTGTTTATAGGAGGCTCCTATTTCAGGCTCCTTGTCCTTTCTCCTTTCCACCCTTGGCTGTCAACATTAGGCTGTGGCCAAAAGGTTGTTTTCTTCTTCTCCCTGGGGTAGGAATCAGAGAATGTTTTCCAAATTTTCATATGTAGAAGTTTCCCCAAGTCTTGCCTTTGTATCTATATAATTATTTAATCCTACTCTCAAGCATGATAAATTATTACTATTACTACTACTACTACTATTACTACTACTACTACTGCTATTAATCAAGGTGACAGTATAGAGCTTCTTGTGTGAATCAAAATAATCATTATTTGAACTGATTGAAACCCATAGTCTGACTCATTATTTTCCATTTGAAATCATGCTGCGCTATGTTACCCAATCATGCCCTTAAAATAATTTATATAGTGAATGAGGCACTTACATTATGAGTTTCTTATTTCGCTTATAAGCATATATGGAAATGTGGATCCCAAATACATCACTTCCATTCAAAAATAATTCCCTCCCTCTGGCACCTGATATTTTTTCTTCATATTCCCTCAAGAAAGCTTCACAGAGACAAAACTAGATAACTTTATGCTCAGCCGCTTTAGTCTCTGGCTCAGTATCACTGGTGGTAGGTCAGTCTCCACAGAGCACCTCCTTTAATTTAGATTAGATGTATGCTAAAACCTCATCTGAAAGCACTCCACTTCTGCCAAGGACTTTTTATTGTATTATACCTCCCCAGTATCAAGGAAAGAGTGTCCACGAAAACCAATTTAATAGAAGGTCCAAAATATTTGCTTTGTAGTGTCTAAATCATAAATTCTCTATTACCTCTCTCAGGGATTTTTAGAAGTTCTAGAAAGACATGATTTTTGGCATCTGCTATCACATCATTATATAGAAGAAAATTAAAGTCCCAAGAAAGGAAGAGAAAGAGAAATCATATACTTAGTATAATGGCAAAAAAAACCACAAGAGTTTATCGTTCATATATTGAATACTGTTTTCCCTGTGGAAGGGTAGATTGGTGAACAGATGAAGGAAGCAGAGAAGAATCTGGACTTTCTTCTAGATGTCAGTCTCTTTCAGTTTTCCAGGGTCATACGTTTTATATAACATTCTGACAGTACATCAAATTTCACTTTGTGAAGTTGAAACACTCATGAATGTGATGACAGTGAAGCCAAAGGGAGGATAACATTTGGAATGTTAGTGAGGCCAGTTCAGCACACAGATAGTATTTGTAGGTATTAGATACACATAATGGAGACAGACAAGTATTTTTCTTTAAGATTTATTTATTTTAGAGAGAGAGAGAATACATATGCACGCTGTTGGGCAGAGGGAAGGGCAAATAGAATCTTCAAACAGTATCCCCCAGCACAGAGCCTGATGTGGGGCTCCATCTCATAACCCATGAGATCATGACCTGAGCCAAAACTAAAGGTCAGACTCTTAACTGAACTGAGCACCCAGGTTCTCCAGGAAATAAAAGTATAGATTCTCATCTGGATCACCTATTATCTGTATTACTCTGAAAAAAATTGACTTAATTCTCTGTGCCTCTTGAGATCATTATAAAGTTTTTTTTTTAATCTGTTTTATTTTTTTATTTTTTATTTATTTATGATAGTCACAGAGAGAGAGAGAGAGAGAGAGAGAGAGAGAGAGAGAGGCAGAGGGAGAAGCAGGCTCCATGCACCAGGAGCCCGACGTGGGATTCGATCCCGGGTCTCCAGGATCACGCCCTGGGCCAAAGGCAGGCCCCAAACCGCTGCGCCACCCAGGGATCCCCATTATAAAGTTTAAATGAATTAAATCCTATCAATAATTTATACAGAACCTGACATTCTTAATGATTCAATGAATTAGCTAACATAATATTGGTAACAGTCACTGTAATGGAAAATGATTCTCATTTATATCAATCTTCCTCTGTTAACAGTTGTCTAATAACCTATGACTCCAATATTAACCGCTCTATGAATGCCACTGAAATTTGGTGAATGTGCTAGACATTTTTTGTTCTAATTTCATTGCTCCATTTTTGTTTTTTTTTTCATTGCTCCATTTTCTGACCTTTACTTTCCCCTATATATTTATTTTATTCTAGATGATACAAAGATGATAATGTTGACAATGATGATGATGATAAGGACACGGTAACAACATATGCCTGTATTGAACATGAGATATTAAAGGCACACATGAAGGTCACATTCTGATGGGGCGAAACATACGGACAATGGCTCGGCGGATCTCCTTTGTCTTGGCACTATAAATCAGAGGGTTGAGCACAGGAGGTACAAAGAGGTAAACATTAGACATGAGGACATGTATGTAGCGTGGGGCATGCTTCCCAAAGCGGTGCACTACAGAAACCCCAATCATCGGTACATAAAATGCAAGTACAGCCAAGATATGTGACACACATGTGTTGAGAGCTTTCAGGCGTTCCTTGCGGGAAGCGATGGCCATGACTGAACGCAGAATGAGCACATAGGAGAGGAAGATAAAAAACATGTCCATGCCAAAGGTAGATACAAGAACAAAGAGTCCATAGATGCTGTTGATAGTGATATCAGCACAGGCTAGCTTCATCATGTCTGGGTGCAGGCAATAGGAGTGAGAAAGAACATTGGATCTGCAGACAGGCAGCCTCTTGAAGAGGAAGGGAAGGGGAAAGAGGGTGATGAAGCTCCGGGCAGTCACAGCTATGCCGATTCCAGCAATGACTCCATTGGTGAGCACAGTGGCATAGTGCAGAGGATCACAAATGGCCACATAGCGGTCAAAGCTCATGGCCAGCAGAATCCCTGACTCCATCATGGAGAAGGAATGAATGAGAAACATCTGGATCAGACAGGCATCAAAAGCAATGCTGCGGGCATTGAGGCAGAAGGTTCTGAGCACGGTGGGCAGTGTGGCCATGGACATGGCCAGGTCACTGAAGGACAGCATGGACAGGAAGTAGTACATGGGCTCGTGGAGGCTGGGCTCCACTCGCACGACCTGTAGGATCACAGTGTTGCCTCCGAGGGCCACGGCATACATCACACAGAGGGGCCCTGCTAGCCAGGAGTGAGAGCTCTCCAGACCAGGGATGCCAGTCAGGAGGAAGGAAGCAGGATGACTGACATTGAACAGTCCCATGGCAGGGGGAAGCCAGGGCACTGTATAGGTTCGGACCTGGAGGACTTTGGAGAGTTGCCCTTTCTGGGGGGCAGGGGCCAGGGAGTAGGAGACACAGGGCATGAAGTCCACACAGTGGGAAACTGATGCCTTCCTGAGATCACTGCTTAGGGGAAAACATTGGCAAACTTCCTTTCTTCATATTTCCTCATCATCAGGCTTCAGGCTGGGATAATAACCCTCTGTTTTATAGATGAAGGAAGACATTGGTAAATACATCAGTTAGGTAAGAGAAAATGTTTAAGCCGCGTATGTTAAGCTGTATTCTCTACAATTTCGATATGTCCTTGAAGCAGCATTGAACGTGTTAATAGAGAACCTTGGCAGGTTGTGGCATCAGGAACTCACATTATTAACCCCTCACCACGTAGGCACAGCCTTACCCGGGTTTTGTTACAATGACACATGTTATTCACTGCATTCCCAGACCTTAACTGCACAGACTTTTCTGTCTGTGAGACTGATTATAGTTGGTATTCTCCCGTCATTCGGATGATCTGGAAACTCTTTCACCTTCATTGCCTCATGATGATTAAAGACAGGGCTGGAAAGCTTTGCTTCTGGCAGAACTGTGTCAGGCAAAGGCACTCTTCTTAGGCAGAGGAACTCCAGAAATATTTTCCATTTCCCCTTCTCCCAACCCTAATGACACAAGGCCAGAGCCTAATCTCAGAGTCTTTGCTGAGGAGAAGGAAGGAGGAAGGGACCTGGGAGCTTCCGGTATCTCAAGGCCCAAGAAGTGCTCCAGTGAGGACTAATGCAGCATTATTACATGGGGAACGTGCCTGGAATTTCTGGGGTAGTATATGACTCGGATCGCCCCGTGGTTCCCAAGATCAGTGCCACCTCTCTGTGTGATTCATTGCATCCGTTCTAGTCACAGAGCTCAGTCTGTGCCCGCCTGGCCTGTCTCCCTCCAGGCATGTGATTGCTTGGGATCCACCACTGAACAAGCCCTTTTTTCTTCCCCCTGAATACAATTCCCATTCTTCACATAACCACCAGTGATGGAATTTAGGGGAAAAACCCCCAGAAGACAAGTGAGCAAAAGTGAAGGGAACAGAGAGAAGGAAGAAGAAACCAGGCTTCAATGAGCAAGACTCTGGGCAGGGCAGGACCAAAGTCATTCTGCGTGTAGGGATTTAAGTGTTAGTATTTGTGGGAAAGTGGCTGCCCGGCAGTCCCAGGATCACATTCTTTGTCATTCCCAGCAGTGACTCACTCATGGTGTGAGTTGTCTGGATGAATGTGAAGAAAGGAAACCAGGAGAGAAACCAAGCAGTAGGGAGCACATTATGTGTCAGACACTCTGCAAGGAAAACGTTGTATCCACTTACCAGGCTAATCCATGACAGATGAGGAGGCTTCTGGCCGTGAGCCTGCCTCCCACCACAGGGCAAGTAGCTGGTGATGCCTCAATTTGCATAGAGATGTGTAAGGCTCTAATATCTTATTCAGTCCTTGAGGCACCATTAAGGTGTTGGAGGAGAATTTGAAAAGGAAAATAGAGTACACATTTCTGGACGGAGATTTCAAAGGTACTCTCGGACCCAGGGGATGGGCACAGACTCATGTGGCAAACAAGAGGCAGAAGTCCCTATCTCCATTGCTGGACTCAGTTCCTGCAACCCTGGAACTCAGAACCCTCCCTTTCTCTGCAGCCAACAGGGACCAGGTGGTTTAGGGGAAGGGGTGCTGGAGGGGTGAGGAGCCCTGGGGCTAAGCTGGCTCTGGCTTGCCCTGGCTGTGTGAGCTTGAGAGAGTTTTGTTCTCTTTGTAGATCAAGCCCCTTGCCACTTGTCACTGCTGTTTGGATGTATTCTATGATTCTTCATGGATCTCATGTTCTGTAACATTTGAACTTCTGGTCAAAGAGAGAATGCCTATAAAGTTTGCTGTGCAAGAAGGCACAGATAGGCAGAGATGGAGTTGGGGGATGAGCAGAGAGGCTCTTCTGATGACCAGCCTTGAACCCAAGGGCAGAAAAGCAAAAGATTAGAGATGCTTGGCCAAGTCAGGCTCTTGTAAAGTTTAGGACTAGCTGATTCCCTTACTCTCTTATTTCCTGGGCAGCTTTCACAGGCTTTAATGTCAGAATTCCTAATCAAATGGAAGGTTTTGTAATGTGTTCACTCAGCTGTTAGTTTGATCCATTTTGTAGTTTGTGAACCCCTTGCTCCTGGATTTCAGAAGTTTGCCTGTGCCGAGCTGACTTTCCTCCCTGGTCTGTGGGATGTTAATGAGTCATAGAGACCTGGAGTCCAAGTGCATTGAATCTGCCCAGTGAGCTGTGTGCACAGAGAATCACAGCGCAGTACCCAGAGTTGCACAGTTAGTGGCTGTGCCAGAACAGGGACCCCAGTCCTGGGGCTCTGCACCTGCTCTGCTCACTCTACTCAAAGCTCCCTTGTGCTAACCTCCAGGCGCTCTCTCCCTTCTCATCTGTCATCTCCTCTTCAGGGTTTCACTTCTTCTTAAAGCAGACTTCAGGTGAGTCAGCTAGCTGCCCCCTACAGGGTTTCAGAACTCACCAGAAGCCAGACAGAGGAGAGACACTGGAGGAACAACACACCCTTCTCTCTATCAGCTAGCATGAATTCATGACTGCCCATTTTGTATCTAATTCTAAGCCTCCAGAGAGAGCAGAGTGATGCTGCTTTGTGTCTGAAAAGTCATCAGGAAGGTTTTAGCCCCTAGAGGTCCTTAGAGACCATGGAGAATAAAGCGTGCGCTCCTGTTTTTGAAAAAGAATTCAGTAATTAATTAGCCAGTCCAATTCTTTACTCCGTGCAAGACACCATCTGTGACGGAAGGACAGGAGTGTAAGAAATGATCTCATTACCTTCTACGGGATCCTGGGACTATGTAATATGTTGACCAGGTCCAGCATTTAAAGTATCAACAGAAAATAACCAATTTTGCTTTACTGACCCCTTGGAATTATGAATCTGGCTAGTTCTTTCTTCCACCCTGGATGGAAACAGAGTTTCCTAAGATTTCTGGTCACGTTCAGAGGATCGCATAGTTTCTGGTGAGCCTGGTGCATATTCACAATGCCCACGCTCACATAACGGCCAGACGGCCCAGCATTCAGTCACACTATTCCTCTCCTCCCATCCCTCACTTGCTAATCTGGCTTTTGATGTTTCCTTCCAAAAGGACAGAGTAGAGACAGTGGATGATTCACAATCCATGAGTGCTTCAGGTAGCTGTTACCATGCTTCCTAGGTGTGTTAATTTTTTCGACCTCTTTGATATTGTGTTTCATAGATTACTGAAGAAGCTTCGTTCCCTCTTTTACTTCTTCTTCACTTGATGTAAATTAATATCTCTTTATTCTGAATGGGTGATTATGATTTCACCCTCCACAGGTCACCCTTGTAGAACTGTAGGCTCTGTGGACCAAATCAAAGATACCATGACAGCTGTCTCTAGCATACAGATCATCCAAGGAATGGTCAACCTTCCACTAGTGTAGCAAACACCCACCTCACAACATCACTAGTCTCTCATTCCAACAGCAGGGGCACTGTCATTTCTCCATTTCAATTTACAGGCATGAGTAAGGTACCTGTCTGCCACGTCTCTCCCCTAATATCAAGTAACATATGTTCTCTTGTAGAATTCTTCAGGATTCTTGACCCAAGGTAAAATGGGCTGTACCTCTCTACCCCTTTTTCTTGGGTGTGGAGTATGGGGTTGAGGACTTAACTTTTTCCAGTAGTCCTCTTCAGAAATCTTATCCTCTGGGGTGCCTGGATAGTTCAGCAGTTTAGCATTTGCCTTGGGCTCTGAGTATGATCCCAGGGTCCAGGATCAAGTCCCACATTGGGCTCTGTGCAGGGAGCCTCCTTCTCCCTCTGCCTATGTCCCTACCTCTCTCTATCTCTCTCTCTCTCTGTCTCTCTCTCTCTGCGTCTCTGAATAAATAAATAAAACTATTAAAAAAAGAAAAAAGAAATCTTATTCTGTAATTCACGACTCTTTTATAACCTTAATTAGTGTAGAATTTCTCAATCACAGCACTATTAACATTCAGGGCTGGATAATCCTTTATTGTGGTGTGATGTCCTTTGCTTCCTGGAATATTTATCAGTATCCCTGGTGTTCACACAGCACGTGTTCCACCCCAATACTGACTTCCAAAAATGCCTTCAGACACTGCCAAACATCCCTGTGGGACAAAGCACCACAGGGGAGAACCACTAAATCCCGAGGAGGCGAGTAGGTGTTTAAAGTTTCGCTACCCAGTTCCACAATTGTCAAACTGTGGAAGGAGCCTCGGTGTCCATCGAAAGATGAATGGATAAAGAAGATGTGGTTTATGTATACAATAGAATATTACCCAGTTCTCTAAAAACTAATTCCACATTCCCTCAGGTTGTTCATTAAGAAGAAAGTACCCACTGTCTTCACGTATTGACCATTTGGGGATATGAAGGATTCACATTAAAATTCTGTTCCTTGTAAGTGTACATGTCATAATCCTGGCAGATTGGAATCTGTTCTTCCCAAAGGCCACTTTGGAGCTGCAGTTATCCAATTTGGAGTTTGCCTATTTCCTTTATTGAACCCCTCCCTCTGCAAGGATTTCAGCTTGTGTGCACACATTGCCTTCATCACTCCCCTTTCCTATCATCTCCATTATTCCTTGACTTACCAACGTAGTTCAGAAAGAGGTCTTATGCACCTGTTTCAGGTTCTCAAACACTACTCTAGTTCATGCTTCCTGCTTCCAATCTTGTGGCCTCATCATTTCCTCTGGGTGGATTTCTGTCACTTAAAGCTCTTCCTGCTGATTCATTATAAGCCTAAGATTCTCTAAGATTCTTAAGCTCTTAAAAAAAAAAAAAAGATTCTTAAGCTCTAAGCTTCATTAGAAGCCTGATGGACTCTGTGACTCTTCTCCTAATGTTTAAGCTTGTTTGTGACACTCTAGGTTCTTTTCTTCATGAGAGAGT